TCCGGATTGAGCGGTCCGGGTTCAAGCCCTGGCCGGGGACACTGTGTTGTGTTCTTGGGCAAGACACTTTACTCTCACAGTGCCTCTCTCCACCCTAGTGATTAAATGGATACCGGCGAATTTAATGCTGGGGGGGTAACCCTGCGATGGGCTAGCATCCCACCCAGGAGGTAGTAGAACTACACCCAGTCGCTTCATGCTACAGAAATCGGGATAAGTTCCGGCCTGATGCGCCACTTGTCTCGTATGCAGACTTTACCCTTTTTTTACCCGTGTGAAAAATGACGTTATTTGCATTTGTTTTTTGTATTTGATGGGTCACTTGGCTCGCATGCAGACTTAACCTTACCTTACCTTATGCTCAAACATATCAACCCTGGATTTAATTGATTTTGGCTTTTTCAACCACGACAGAAAATTACTTTTAATCTTTATCCTTCTCTCAAATCAGCAGATCAGCACCTAGAAAAATGACATGCTCACACTTGATTACCGTGGTTTTGCCATGTCCTTTTTGAGGTGGGGCAACGTGAACGCCCTATCACTGTCTTGATTGTCGGAGTTCGCAATGGGACGCTTGTTGAAAAGGGGCGCTTATTATAGACACTAAATGGGAGTGCTTATCACAAGGGGGGCGTTAAATAGAATTATTACAGTGATCTGATGCAACGTAGTTATACTCACTTGTCTAGATGAAGAGGATCTGTTTGATTTGATCCCGACAGGAAAAACTGCCTGGCCTTCTCATATTGCAGGTACAGCTTAGTAAAACTGACAACGAACGCCAGGAAGACGAAGATAAAATAAAAGAAAAACTTCATTACGTCAAATAACATTTGTATGAATGCATGTAGGAGTGGACCAATGGTGGAGTTTGCCTGAATATACGACAAGTTTTGGGTAAATGCCAGTAGAATTGCCAGGGCTAAAAGACAGTCGGAAAACAACACGATCGTGTACGAGCTATGTGTAGCATGGTTCTTCCACGTCAAAGAGTCCAGTTTTCCTATCATTGCTGCTCTGCCAGCCCACCAAAACACGTAATGGAGAAGAAATAGCATGACCGTGGCTAGAGCCAGATAGTTCCAGTAGTCAGTAAAGAAGCGAACTCTTCCTTTGTGGTAAACCTGTTTAACTAAATCCACTAAGTGACCAAGTACGAATACGAGGATTAGCCAATCTGAGAAGGAAAGAAATACACGTTATAAACATGTTGAATATATTTTAAGCCTGAAAATATTCCATGCCAGTAACCACTGGTCAAAGCATTTTTGTTGATTTCACGTCATATTAAATTTTCTGTTTTTTTTTTTTTAACAGCGCCAAGATAATAATAATAATAATAAATAATAATAATAATAATAAAGTTTTTTGGGCGCAAAAAAAAAAACTCAATGCGCTTACATTACTATAAAAAAAATCTGTTGCCGTCTTGACTGAACCAAGAAATGGAAACTGTGTTTCAGTGTTATTTTACTGTCCGCATTAATTTGAGCTTTACCGAAACCTGCTGAAGATTACTCCGTCATTTACCGATAATTAGTTGACCAACCAAAGATCACGGTCGAGGATAACCTAAAGACAAGGGGAACCTAAGCGGTAACATAGTCATTTTGAAGCTTTCAATTTCTTTTCGGTACTCACTACAACGACAATACGGACTAATTCTCAAAATCCCCTTATCTCTGGAAAAGGTTAAAAAGAAAGATGGGAAACCGTCATAATCACCTCGTCTCTAATTAATAAGAATAGAAATAAGTGGAATTTGGGTTCAGTCTGCGCTTGAACAGATTACAATAACTAACATTAGTATATAACACACAAGTGAATAGTACTTTTCATGCGTTCTGATTGCTGATTAGGAAAGTATTGTTCACCTCAGAGCAGCCGAAGAGAAATGTCCGACCATCTGTCGTATTATTGTCAGAAATGAAGTAATAATTATTTTGATTCGCTAGTAATTCAGCTTGTGTGGTAAATACTAAAACAGTTATTCGCCTCAGTGTCGCTTCGTGGTTCGGTAAATATCCACCATTTTATACTTACACTTGGCCGGGTGAATAATTGTTAGATGATTAAAGATATTTTTCTGAGTCTCTTTACTCACCAGTTATGGCGTACTGCAGAAAAATACTTTGAAAAGCGAACGAAGACAAAAACAGCAGAAAAAGAAATGTTTGAAAGGAACCACAACTGATGAGGAATTTCACACATGGAGAGTGTAGCATTCTTCCGACTTCATGCCTGGGAAGACAGTTGTCGAAAACAAGCCAAAATACGAGGAAAAAAGGAAACAGACCAAACGCCAACAATATCAAGGCGAACTGTTTCCAGGAACTTTTCTCCAGGAAAGGGACATCTCTGTAAATCTCTGAATTCAACAGAAGCTGGCTGAAAGGATGACTGACGAACTGAAAATTCAAAATATTAAACGCTGGTCTTAGTTCAGTCGATCTTTAAGGCTGTGGAATGCTTGCAGCCGTTTTTTTCACAAAGTGTCACTTAGACGGGTGATCAGAGCCATCCCGAACGCAAAAGGGCAGTATGGCCGAATAATTTTCTAGATAATATCACTTGGTCTGTACAAAGAAAATAAACTGCTCAACCTAAAAAAGTGTATTAAATTAATACACCGCTGAGGCAGTGAGTTTTTGTGTATTGGTTATAATAGTAGAGTGTGCTGATACTTACTGAAGATAGTGTGGTAAGGTAGAAACATGCGACCATCACCTCGATCATCTTATCTTGGTGGAAAACAATAGCAGAGAAGTCCTTTTTTTTCAAGCATTCAGTTACGTGGAAATGAGCCTACTACGGGCCTACTACTTCTTCCATAACTCTCTGATCCCATCGGAAACTTACGAAAAGGGGCTATTTTTATCTCTGCCAGCTGACTGAGTCCTAAATGATCATCTGCCTTTTCGTGTTATGCGGGGTCGTTGTGCGATATAGTGCTTAACGTAGTTGCCAGAAAAAAAAAAGAGCAAAACAAACCTTTTCATTTCTCGTGACGATGGCAAACTCAAGGATGTTTAAAAGCCCTCCGCCCGTACTAGGTAGCATTAGTTCGTTTTTCATCTCCATAACGCATCTTATCTCTTTCATCGACCGGCATTCGTTCAGCACCGCTACTGCAAACTCTTTACAACCATCGCTAAGCTCCAAATACTCTTTCCTGAACTCATACTCCTGCTCTGCCATCTCACACAACTCTTTGTTGAGGACACAGGCCTGATAAACGGGATCGGGACCGTTAAGTGAGTTTTGAAGAAAAGACGCGGTTAAGTACACAGGACTAGCAAGTGCTCGATATCTGTTTAAACGGAACACAGCAGGTCCTAGCTTTTCACCTTCAACTCTGTGAGATCGTTGAGAATTATCCGTAGGTAAGTCGGAAATGGTGAACCCACGTTCCAGCAGAAGCTTGACAATTTGGAAATTCTGCAAACATGCTGCCAGAATCAGCGGTGTGATGTATCGTTCGCGTTTGGAAGAGTTCGTTACGTATAAAGTATCTGGTTGCACCGATGGAGGCTCGTGAAATTTAAGCAAAATTTCCACACATTTCGCGTCACTTTCACGAACTGCGTGCAACAATGCGAGTTCCAAGTCGGCTCCACCGGTCAGTAAGAATTTGATAATGTCGTTCCGAATTGACAGGTCTTCCAAATCCGCCGCTACTTGCAGTACAGTTTTACCCGAGTTGTTGACACAGTTAAGGTTACATTCTGGCTGAGAGTAATTTAGAGCGTTCTTAACTTTCTCCAAATCTCCCTTCTTTATCGCATCAAAAAGCTTTCGCTCCAACTTGTGTATAGTTGGTGGAACGCCGTCTACCAGACCATCTACTTTAAGTTCTTCCAGTAAAACGTCGGTCGCCTCCATTGAGTCTTATTACTTTGTCGATTGTTATTACTCCTCCTTTATCACTGTTGTAAGGACATCAGACTTTGTGATTCTGTGAATTGCTGGGTGATGCCAAAAAACTGTACAAACTCTTTCACTTTGCATGAGATCTGATAAGTGGAAAATATCACACGGTTAATACCTTAGTTTTTTCTTTGTTGGGCTTGAATTTTCTATCTTCCCCAGAAATTAAGTTCTCGAATGATTTTTTTGAAACTTTCCTTTAACATCTCCTACCAAGCGATGTTCGGAAAAACAAAACAAAAAAGATATAGGTCACCATGCTCGCAAAAGACTGTGATGGGCCAATATTACCCCATCTATGCCCAATCACGTTATTTCATCGGTTCACGCGCGTTACACTGCCGTAGCGGGAAGCAAAGTTTTTTAAGAAAAACATTTAAAATATATATATGATACGAGGAAAATCTCGGGCGTGTGGAACAATATTTAATCTATAAAACAATCACGCAATTTAAACGACATCGACTCAAACGTTTCTCAAGTCGTTGTTTCAAGGTCATAATTTGTATCCTTGTGCAAGCTTTCAGCCATGTCTTTTTACCGTCTGAACAATTTTTGTTTTTATTCCTCTACTTAAAGAGGATAATAAAAAAATATAGAGAATAATCTGTACACCAAAATTATGTAATAAAAAATATAGGTCAACATGCTCATTAAAGAGAAAACGAGCATTTATTTGGCTGTCGAGCTTAGCGTGAAGGAAGTCTCTTGATGGTGTGTATGTGTGGGCGCTGATGACGCAAGAATCGTGCCCAGTAGGGACGCGCAAAGCAATTTTGAGAAATCACCAACTTGTGTCATCAATCGCATAGAACAAACAAAATTAGAAAAGCCCTACTCGTTTGTATCTCGAAAATAAAAAAATGCCGTGCAGGAACGTACGATTTATGTTCGTTTACAGCCACCTTTATATTAGTTGAAATTTGGCTGGCCTATGCTTTAAGGGTGATTATTGAGACCTCAATCAAAACACTAGCTTCCATAGATTGAAAATCGCATTGTTTGGACCTGTATTTTTGGCGCCGCGGGAAGCATGGCGAAAGGAATCATTTCATGCAGTTACCGATTCATACTGTCCCATGTTTTAAGTCGTAATTCCAAATAACCTATGTCAATTTTACTCAAAGTTTGCAGAGAAATTCGTTGGAGAAGCGAAAAGAATATGGTCCCTAATAAATGGTCTACAGGCAATCAGTTACGCGGTCACATTTTCGACAATATTGCACAGAATGTTTGTCACACTGCTGACTGCCAAAACTGCAAAAAACTCTGCGAGTCCACCAATTTTGTCATCTTTTCGTATTATATACTTCTGAAGAACTCATCTTTGACTTTTATCTAAATCAAAAGAGAACCTAATATTGGCGGGTGGCGTACAGCTTCGGCAACCTATTTACATATCACTTCTGACTGATCATATGCATAACTTTGAGTAAAAAGACATGATTGCGGAATTGTAAGGTTGTCGGTAGCATTTCTACAAATTGCTAGTTGGCTTCAAGCAGAAAATTTTGAAAATAGCGTTTGAAGTCTTGAACAAATTACAGTGAGATTTCTTTAATGGTACTCACAGACTCAGGTGGTTTTTCTCGGGTCGAAAAAGTCAACCCATCTTTTTCGTCCTCACTGTGCCATTGACGGTTACCACCAGTAACGATAATTCCCACCCACCTTGGTGAATAATATCCCTTCACCCACTAGGTGTGCAAGTAATTTGAGCAGAAAGTTTCAAACGGTCTGTGCACGGAATGGTCAGCGCATCATTCGACACATCTTTTGCGGTTTCGATGGAGAAGACTTGTGGGATTTACCAGCTGAGAGATTCTCACTCGGCGGACACTTTCCTCCAATGAAGGGAAGCAATGATTCAGAGAGCAACTATCGGACTTGCTCTAAATGGAATCTTGATTCCATCAGAGCTTTTGGGGCAAATTTACGGCTATTTTCCTTTTCCTTCAGTCGATCTGCTGAGCTTTACCGCTCGAATTGCTTACCGGTCTTGAAGAATGATATATGGTGAAGATATCATGGGAATATTGCCTACAAGACCTGGAAAATCTGTGATCTTACAGCTGTTTACTCTGGTAAAAATGTACGAAGGTCAATTGACATCGAATTGACCGTTATCCAGAATCAAAGAAGACCAAATTAAGATTTCCGAGGCTTGGGTATTTCAGCTGTGAANTTTTTAAGATATGCAAAACGTTTTACTGTATAAATGTTAATTATAATTTTTAAAGTAATAATGCAAAGCAAAAATTAATGCTTTTATGGAAACATTAACACTAATGGCTTGAATGTTTAAAATTAGTAGAATTCTTCAGCAGACTAATGAAATTCTAGCCCTGCAATCCGATTGGCTGAGCGATCGCATATTATCAGCCATTAGTGTGCAGTTGCTTGCTCAAGGTGATCAATAAAATGGAAGCAAGGTTTTCTTTTTTCCCGGAAGTTTTGGAGGAAAACTAATAAATATTCTGGATAATTCAATCTCTGAGAAGACCAAAAGGGCATTCATCCTTTCCACGCTTGAAAAAGCTCAAAATTGTTGAACGGATGAGCGCGTCGGAGACGAGAACAGTCAGTTGCAGCTGCTATTCAGTCCAAAGACGTTTTAGCTTCTGAAAGCTGTTTAATCGAGGTTTATTATTATTATATGAAAGAAAATCTCAAGCTCATAATCTTATTGTCGAAAATTGAGTGTTCGTTCGCCTCAAATGTCGTTATGAAAGAGTAAACGTTGCCAGTCAGTTGTTTACAAATCTGATATCGATTCGTCACATTATATAGTATAGGTTCCTAACTGAATAAAAAATGCCTAAATTTTTCAAGTTCGTCGTCTGCAACCCGTGTCAGTCTTCTCCATCCATAACCATCCTTGTTTCTTTCGGGTATGTTATTTTCTCTTTGGTGTTTATCTTATCAAACTGCTATTTCCAGGTTTCCTTCAAGTTAAGGATAAATTTGTCCGTGGCCAAAATAACTCAAATTTTTGTGACTGAGCTCTTTGACACAAAGATATAGACGCTGAATGATTTAAAAGACGTGGGTGAAAGTTCCCGAGGTTTCTTTCGCTGAAATTATAGCCTCAGGCGACATCAACACCTTGGAGGCGTCAGCCATTAATTCGCGCTGTGATCCTTTTTTTATTGCACATTGCATCGATCAAACAAGTGTTGAACGATTGGATTGAAACGCCTTAGCACTAGCTAATTCCTAGGAAACCCGCAAGTTGATTGCCTATCGAGGCAAGGTTTTCTATTTCAAAGCAAGCTATTTACGCAGGTGAAAAGAAACCAGAAAACGTCATTTTCAATGAGAGCTTAAAGATAATCTGGGGAAAAAAATTAGACAGTCCTTTCACAAAAAGCATGATAGGTTCACTGAAAAGACTGAAGTAAGTGCCAAAAATAGAAATACAGCTGAATCTAAAAGCAATGCCATTCGAGTAAACTTCAACGCCAAACTCTTTAATTCCACGTTACCGTTTAATCTGAAATGCAATGGTTGTAACAAAGTTGCAGAAAAGAAGGCATGCGGAGAAAGTGTAATTTATTCAAGTAACAACAGTGCAATGTAATTGTGGTGTTTGATCTAGGTGTCTGATCTAGGCTTTTTGGGGATTTTGAACATAACTCAAATATTGGATGTATATCCCCGAGACAGCAGAAAAACAAATGTCGCGCCAGTGTGTATCCGCTTTCTTGACAGAGCACGTTTACAATATAACATATATCGATAAAAGTTATGCTTTAGAGTTTTTCGCACCGATTTACCAGTTCACTATGTTTTCCCAGACCCGCTTTTTGCTTACGGATGTTCCTCATTTTTGCGAGCAATGGCCACAAAAAATGTTGTCAGAGATCCTTGTAATGCAAATGGATAACACGTAAATAGAAATCGAATCTTACTATATCACACCACAAGATGTTCCAACTCGCATGTTGCCGTTTTTCGAGTGTTAATCTATTTTTTTTGTTGCGCCCATTGTGTTCCGTAAAAGTGTTCAGAATCTAATTCACACCCTTCTAGATGCCGCGGTCAGGCCAACAATAAACTCGTTCTGCAGAAATTAATTTTTTTTTTTTCATTTCTTCTTAAAGGAGGGACACTGATTCCAACGAGACATGTTGGAATTTTCTTAATCCAGCCGGTATTCAAGAGTCGATCAAGGACTACGCGCCACTCGTTGTCTTTGCCGAATGTTACACATGTGGACGGACTATCAAGAATTGCACAATTTGCTTCATGCGCGTGATTTGGGACAACTGTAGATTTTAACTTTGGGTGTGGGAAAAATAATAATAACTGTCATTTGCACATTTGTTTCTCGAAATTGGTTGCCAAAAACAATGGTTGTTATCCATGATTTGTAGTTTTATTAGCTCGGTAAAATTGGCTAAAATATACTACTAAACGTATAGTTTTGGAAAACTGAGTTCGCTCTCTTTCACACAATGAAATGCGGAGTTTATTTAGACTACACTACGCCAGTTTGGCGACGCACTTCGACGGGTGCAAAAATCCCAGGTTGAACCTCAGAGCCAAACGATTGCAGTGTCACTTTCTTAACACTTAATACTTAGAATGTTAGAAAATATTCGACTTACCACATTTCATGGGATGATAACTGAGTTCTACAATGTACCGCTGGAGAAATTGACGTCGGCAAAATTTCTAGCAGTTCTTTTTGCAGTTCTTAACTTAACTTCGCAGCCCAGGGTGTGTGTTTCGATGACTGCATTGAATTACAATGGAAGGAATGCAAGCTGACCTTTTTGGTATTGAAGGTAATTTACACTGATTGGGTCCGAAGGGATAACACGACGGATCTATATCTAACGAATGAGTGGGTGACATGACGGGCTAACATCCACGAAAACATAACGCTGTCCCAGATAAAATAATCCCGGATCATATGCATTGGTGTTGGGTGCCGAATTCCACATGGTGGATTCTAAATTTCTATGACTGGATTGTGAGATTCACTTCCATAAGGATTCCAGGATATCTATGCTTGTTTGATCCCTCGTTTCGTGTGACTATTTTTGATTGAATTCCAGTAACCAGGGAAACTCAGTCCCGCTAAGGAAAACATTAGAAATAGAACACGATATTGCTGTACTGCATGTTCGTGCCACCATATAACCGCATGATCTGGATACATCTAAACAGATCTAAATAGCCGCAATAAAAATACAGCACGGCATATCGTATATCCTATTGGTTTCGACTACAAAGGGATCCTTGATATATTAATGAGGCTAGCAGTTTTAAGAACGGAATTTTATTTCCGATATCATCTGGCATAATATTGTAGAACCAAATAGAACGAAATAGAAAGAGGCAAAAATGTTCGCTACGATGTTCAGTTGTTGTTTTGAAAAAGAAGGCGAACAATGAACCAAGAGATATACGCAACAATGCTATAATTACATGAAAGTCTTTTTAATTATTTTGTATTGGTATAGTAAGAGTGAAAATTACAGTTTATCTAGTGAAAGGTATTGACAGACCTATTGCACTGAACTGTTAAATGCTTTCACACCTGATGAACGCTGGTGAACCGCATAATGCATCAGCACCAAGAGAGAATTGATCAGCCCCAAATATAAATATATCTTCCTAAATTCATTTCAGGTGTACTGACAGCAGATCAGCGCCGAAGAGTAAGGTTTCTTAAAAGTGATCACCAAAAACCATATGGAATCTTTTCTTTGCCTTTTTTCTTAAATTCATGTGATTACCAAGATTGACCAAGGATGTATGATAGCAGGGGTTTACCCCATGAAGCATATGCATAGGCACTCGAGCATAAATGATCGACATAAACGTTTGCTCGAGGTAAATCTGACATCACAGAAAATTGACTTATGACCGGGTATTTCAACTGACAAACAGGCCGACCAGGTAGTATTATGTACCGCTTAGGCACCCCTGGGACAAGGTTTTGAGTTCAATTTCTTATAAATTTAGCGATAAAACTCGAATCCAGGGGCGCCAGAAATATTTTTGGAATGTTTATCTTGTTGCAACCAATCAGCGACACGATACCAATGCAAGAAAAATTCGTCTGCTGAAAGAAGTTTCTTCCCTCTTGTTCTACCATCAGTCTCACAGTTCTTATTCAGAGATCTGGGATTTCAAACTTTGTCAAATAATGTGGCCAGTGATTGGCTTTGGAAAGGCAACTTACCTTTCAAGCAACCAAAGAATCTTTGGAGTCGTTGAAAAAAGGGGATTAAATTGAGACAAAACAGACTAAAAAGAAAGAAAGTGGACCAAAATAGAACGTGCAAGTATTTTAAATATCACAGATATCAAATATAAAATCACTAAATCAGTTCACGTGAAAGTCGGATTTAGAAAGCTTTCAAAAGAATTCCTACTTGACTGGGTGTCTGATGTCATCACGGTAGTCAGGTTTGAGTTTCATATGATCGTAATGTGTTCTGCTGTTTACCAGCAAAACACAGGTTTAACTCGTAAGATATTTGCCAATATCGCATTTTATTAGGCAAGATTAAGGCCTATTTTTGTATTAACATCATTTAGGAAAGTAAAGATTCCGAAATTGTAACAAAAATCGAACTTGTAAACAGTTTGTAAGATAACCTTGCATGAGCTGGCTACGTCAGTAATCTAGCTCAGCCTCTAGCCTTTATGACCATTATGCATTCAGGAGTTGATGCAAATTTAACAAAATATATTTTCGGGGTGGGGGGCGGTAACAGCGAAGATATCGGTGACCTCACCTATTGTTATTAATAAACGTGCCAACCACAAAACTATTGGCTTCTGAACAGTCAATAGTGTGTGTGTTTGTTTTCATAGTCTGGAAATTGAAATTACAAAAACAGTGTATGTAAACACATATCAGCGCCCCTATAACAAGATATCACCCAAGGGCTATTATTGGCGAAAGAAATGTCACTTGTCGCCTGCTTGTCCGACCCGAAAACGACTACCATATAGCGATAAAGCTCCTTGTTACTATAACAACGCCGAGGCCGAGGGTGCGCGGTCATAGAATGTACAACACATCAAAGGCTTTTAAAAATTTGGGTACAAAATGCATTGTTTTTCACAGTTGTTCCGGTAAACTGCCAATACACCGACAACCTTCATTTAATAATAATAATAATAATAATAATAATATATAGGTCAACATGCTCATTAAAGAGAAAACGAGCATTTATTTGGCTGTCGAGCTTAGCGTGAAGGAAGTCTCTTGATGGTGTGTATGTGTGGGCGCTGATGACGCAAGAATCGTGCCCAGTAGGGACGCGCAAAGCAATTTTGAGAAATCACCAACTTGTGTCATCAATCGCATAGAACAAACAAAATTAGAAAAGCCCTACTCGTTTGTATCTCGAAAATAAAAAAATGCCGTGCAGGAACGTACGATTTATGTTCGTTTACAGCCACCTTTATATTAGTTGAAATTTGGCTGGCCTATGCTTTAAGGGTGATTATTGAGACCTCAATCAAAACACTAGCTTCCATAGATTGAAAATCGCATTGTTTGGACCTGTATTTTTGGCGCCGCGGGAAGCATGGCGAAAGGAATCATTTCATGCAGTTACCGATTCATACTGTCCCATGTTTTAAGTCGTAATTCCAAATAACCTATGTCAATTTTACTCAAAGTTTGCAGAGAAATTCGTTGGAGAAGCGAAAAGAATATGGTCCCTAATAAATGGTCTACAGGCAATCAGTTACGCGGTCACATTTTCGACAATATTGCACAGAATGTTTGTCACACTGCTGACTGCCAAAACTGCAAAAAACTCTGCGAGTCCACCAATTTTGTCATCTTTTCGTATTATATACTTCTGAAGAACTCATCTTTGACTTTTATCTAAATCAAAAGAGAACCTAATATTGGCGGGTGGCGTACAGCTTCGGCAACCTATTTACATATCACTTCTGACTGATCATATGCATAACTTTGAGTAAAAAGACATGATTGCGGAATTGTAAGGTTGTCGGTAGCATTTCTACAAATTGCTAGTTGGCCTCAAGCAGAAAATTTTGAAAATAGCGTTTGAAGTCTTGAACAAATTACAGTGAGATTTCTTTAATGGTACTCACAGACTCAGGTGGTTTTTCTCGGGTCGAAAAAGTCAACCCATCTTTTTCGTCCTCACTGTGCCATTGACGGTTACCACCAGTAACGATAATTCCCACCCACCTTGGTGAATAATATCCCTTCACCCACTAGGTGTGCAAGTAATTTGAGCAGAAAGTTTCAAACGGTCTGTGCACGGAATGGTCAGCGCATCATTCGACACATCTTTTGCGGTTTCGATGGAGAAGACTTGTGGGATTTACCAGCTGAGAGATTCTCACTCGGCGGACACTTTCCTCCAATGAAGGGAAGCAATGATTCAGAGAGCAACTATCGGACTTGCTCTAAATGGAATCTTGATTCCATCAGAGCTTTTGGGGCAAATTTACGGCTATTTTCCTTTTCCTTCAGTCGATCTGCTGAGCTTTACCGCTCGAATTGCTTACCGGTCTTGAAGAATGATATATGGTGAAGATATCATGGGAATATTGCCTACAAGACCTGGAAAATCTGTGATCTTACAGCTGTTTACTCTGGTAAAAATGTACGAAGGTCAATTGACATCGAATTGACCGTTATCCAGAATCAAAGAAGACCAAATTAAGATTTCCGAGGCTTGGGTATTTCAGCTGTGAAATTAAATCACGATGAAGAAACATCCGAGAAGATTTCAAGAGGCAAGTATCGAGTGTTTACGAGTCATTACCGATTCTGCGCTCGGGTTCCGAGGAGGCAATGTGTGATCGATGAGCGGTTTAAGACAGGCCTCCGCGAACTTCCTCTATAAATTATGATTGCATCGCATTTTAGCAATGCGGGCGTATTTTGGCGAGCGAGTGCATTTTTATCAAGCGAGTGCCGTCTTGGATTCAAACTCGGAAGAGGCTTGGGGAGAGACGAAGAGAGGCACTATACTAAGCCAACATGACGGCGAATTTACTTCGGGCTGCCGATAACTCGATCTAGCTCCTCGCGAACACACTGGCTTCCGTCAAGCTTTCTTCAATCTCAGGATAACATAAGTTAAGTCATGATCGGTGATCGTGCTCTCATGTCCACATGAGAGATTCAACCTTCATGGGTAGACGTCACAATAGCCTCTCGATCTATTCTCCTCAAAGTCGGCCATGAAACAAAATGGCGGCGTTTTTGGAGTTACTTTCCAGATTTCGTCGAGACACAGAAACTCGCGAATTTTAACGAATCCAAAATTTTTTTGCAGAAGTATTTCGAATGACAATAAGATTTTCTTTCATTGGAAAAAAACATCATATGCTCTTGTCAAAAGGACTTTGGCTTTATATAGCTCTTACGAACCGAGTTTGTTTGCCATATTGCGTCACTTCATTCCGCAGCCGTGAGTTACCTCGGTCAGTCATGTCAGTAGGATCTCCTTCATGTAGATAATTATTTTGTAGTCGATCGGCATCAGGCACTGATTATTTTGCTGGTCTATCCACGTATTGTCTTTCCCCGTTTAAGCTGTTTCTGTTGTCAAAATGTTTGGTGATTTGTATGATAAGTTGTCATCAAAATGGTAGGTTTTTAGAGCTAAACGTTCTCTACTGTTCAGTACGTTTCAACAAAATACTCCGCGAACATCCGTCAGTTTAACCACCATGTTGAAGGCTTGGACGCCAAGCATGGCATCATAAGGCATAACATCGACTTCCAAGGTGAAGTTTTTGTTAAAAAGTTTAACATTTCCAATGCATAGCACATAATTCGATAAGCTAAACTGGCCGAATGCTTTGTTAGAGGACTCGCCGAGTTCAGAAATCGGTCGAAATAAAGTTTGTCAGCCTACAAATATTTCGTTTTCACATGCAAATTCTTTTAGAATAGTAGAACGTGACGGTAATTCATGCATCAGTGCGCCTTAACGTAAAACCATGTTGGCAATCTCCAAAACTCTCTCTTCGACTACATAGATCATTTCATAGCCAAAGTGCTATATTTTTCATCGAATGGATTAATCTCCCTGCGAATCTACCCCCAAAACATAAAAACAAATTATTTCAGTATTTATTTAAATCCAGAAGTTATTTCTATAATTTTCACTTTCAATATATAAAATACGTTTTCTACCCTTCCGTTCTCCTTTGATCTCGGCTTGGCAGACGGCCTCCGTTCGAACGCGTTATTTCGCACTCACCCAAATAACCACGTGAATCAAAACGCGTAAATATCAGAAAAGCTTTATGCAAGGCCGTGTATGAATAAGATTTGCCTTGCGTGAGATCGCAAGGATACTAAAGCAAACCAATTACAATCGCCTAGAATAGCTCCATTTAATAGTTTTACTAATTGCCGACTACCAAAAATTGTTATTTGAATTTGTAAAATAAGGTCATTGTACATTGTGGAGTTCCGTGAATTCTGTAAAATGCGGCCGCAGATGAAGCCGCTTGCCGGCAATGGCTCATTGAGTGGGGCTGACAGTGACATGACATGACTTCTCAATCGCGTACTGATGCTACTACTACAGCAAGCAAAGAACGCATTTGATTGAAAAACAAATAAATTGTATGCTCAGAAACTTCTAGCGTTTGGCAACCAAAATAAATACTGGTTTATTCAACATTGAACAATCCTACCTTTGTCTGGCCTGAGAGAGAGGAGGACATCAAAACATTGTGTACAACTACAATTGGAACCGGCACTGGAACTTAATTTATTTCCTCTTAAATGCGCTCAATTTTTGACACATTAACTATGAGCTATCTCGATCCTCAATTATCTTGAACAATTTTTCGTCCGACTTAGCTGTGTCAGTAACTCCACTATCTGAGGACGGTTTCGAATGAAGTAGCACCATGATCAATGAAAATGCGTTAAAAAAAAAACATTCCTACATGTTAATATCGTGGCATTGACTACCAAACAATAAATAGCTGGGTTCTTTTATTTTCAAACCTCCCATAAGGCCTGGTACTATATATTTTAAGTTTCATCTCTAATCCTGTGGGATCTCGCACGATAGAAAATTAAAATCATGATTGACAACTGAAAATTTGAAATTACGGTTTATAGCTCAAGCTTTTGCTATCGAAGACGTACGCGCCCAGAATTAAGCGTTAAATTAGGTTGTAATGTATTATTTCACATTGGAAAAATCAGACTTAATAAACAACTCGTTGTGAATATCGATCACACCACTTGAAGCCGACCAGTTTAATTTTCGTTGTGTCAAGTAGCATATAACATTTTCTTATCGACTCTCGTTTGTATCCCACGTTCAGCATGTCTCAGATTCTCGTGAATAAACTCGATTGCTGGCGGCTCCCTCTCAAGGCTATGTTTTGAATTATTTGTCTCCTTTACTTATAATAGAAATATTCTCTATTCGGTTGAGCGAAGCGAAAGAGAATAGTAGTGCCTGTTTAGTTGCATTCTTTAAGGTATTCCTCACATCAGACTTCAGTGAGTACGAACCAGAGCGAAGTTGAGGTTGACATTTTCATACATTAGCTGTATTTTTGTCCATCCTGACCTCGACTCGGTGCCATTGCTTGTTGGAATGGCGTAAAGGTCTATGTTTTTACTTGAAGAACATTTTCGCCTAGTTTAAATGGTGTTACTGTTTACACGACCGATCCGACCAATTTTACAAATTTTCGTTTCCAAAGTTGGACATAAATACACATTAAATACGGTTATCAGAACGAAAATTTTGGTTTCCGCAAACTACACGAAAATAAAGACAAATCATGTACGTACGCAAGGACGTCACAACATGGCGGGACGACTTTTATCCACGAACCCCGGGGGGTAATGGGCCGGAAATTTTTCTCAAATTTCATGACGCAAATTACAACAGAACGCTAGATCGCCCACGAAGAGCAACTGCCATGCTTCTATTTTTAAACCCAAATTTAAGGCCAAAGTTGTGCATAAAAGTTGTGTAATACTTTCGGGTTGATTGCGCAGGTTTGTCATTTTAGAAATCAAGCCTAAATTAAACACTATTTCTTCCGTGGAATCCGTTCCAAAACGATAAAAGGTGACCACTTTGATTCACGTTCAGAAACGGATGTTTAGAGAAAACACTTCTTCTTA